GGACTGCTCTCAAATATTTGACACCGTCATTTTGAAGTGGTAACAAGAGAAACCAAAGAACTTTGGTAGAAATAATAAAAAAAAATAATGCGCTGATGTGAAAGACAACATGGAAGAGCAGCCGTACCTGTCCCTGAATTCCCATTTGCATTGCAACAAATGGGTCTAAAATTACACCACGGATTGGGCAACCCATCAGGTATGCTGAAAATCCAATACATAGTTAATGAAACTCAAAATATTGCTAATACTTCATTGATTGGGCTGAGTAGATTGCTAAGAATATTTAAACAAGAAGCAACCAACACCAATGGAACATCTTACATCTATATAATGGAAAATATTAACACAAATTGAACTGAATAAATTGCAAATATTTCATCATTTAGGTTTAGTAGATTGCTATGAAACATTTAAGCAAAGCACAAACCAACACAACTTAGACAATGACAACCATTAATCCCCACAATAAATGCTGCTGCAATATCATTTTTCACCTACTTTGGTTCAGTTTATAAAAAGATTGTGACCGATATATGATAGCACAACGTTGTTTACCTACAAGCAGGTGGCCAGCTTCATGAACCAAAATTCGACGCTTATATGGAGGCCAATAACAAGAGATCTGAGCTAAGCATGAGCCACCAAGAAAAATAGCATCCAGCATTGATAATCCCAAAATTGCTGCAAGGTTTGGTCTGATATCTATTCCTTGATTGAGCAGAATAGACACTCCAGCAAATAGAGCAATCACAAGAAGACTAGAGCTTCCAGAAAGTCCCCATTTTTTTGGAGAAAATTTTGAAACTGGACAGCAACAAAACTATGAGGTTATGATATATTTTTGAAAAAGATGCACGCAGCCAACATAAATTTTAAAGTTGCATAAAGAGTGGCAAGTGGAAAAACCCATTCTTCTTAAATGGGAAGATGAACCTACATATTTGCTTTTCTGGTAATGGGAATACCTATTCACAGATGAACATTTACCTTCCAAACCCGTTGAGGACTCCAATACAGCTGGCGTAACTTCTCTTGGTCCCTCTAAAACTGCACAAAACAATTTCCCATACCAGGCATGAAGCACGTAAGATTGCATCAAATGTAGAGCTTAAGAATTCATCGCCAGTTTTACAGATAATTTGGGGCAATTTTCTGTTATTATTCTGTTTAATCCAAATGAAGAAGACGACGCTTACATGCTTATATACATGAAACGCTATACTAAGCCATAATGCTCAAATAGTAGAACACGTGCCAACTAAGCTGGCAAAGAAATAAAAGAAACGGGACGCGTTACTATAAGTGAAATGTGCCTGAAAACTGGAGGAAAAAGGAAGAAAATGTTTTCCTAACTAACTAACTAATCCAACGCTTAGAAAAAAAGATAAAACACAGCATAAGGAAATGAACACCATCGCATCATCAACATCCCAATAGAAACCATCAATTCTAGAATCATTTCAGAATCTATCTACTTAAAAGAAATGGCCGGACAACCCAAGCAAACACCATCACAGCGTAACACATTTTCCACAAAGCCAGAATCTGACCATTAAGAACCAACTCAACGAACACATAAACCTAAAACCATAACGTGACAGCTAACACAAGGCGACCAAAATACAAATCCAAACCTCAAACATTCAGCGCCGATCCGTAACTTCATAACTATCCAAAGGGTATGTGCTCCATTTATTATTGTTGTTATATTTTTATCTCTGAATCGCAATTAACGACCCAAAGTGCAGCAGTAAGCCGATACATGGAAATGCATTCCAACACTGAAAGTAAGAAAAATAGGCAGCAAACTTACCA